AATGGCGAGAAGAGAAAGGAACGGCATGGGGAGGCGGAAAAAAGTGAGGACGATGAGGTTGCGTGGGCGGGTAGGCGGCAAAAAACGTGATGATGAGGACGGCGACAACAACGACGACGACAGTGATCACGAGACGGGCGCATGTCAGTCCGGAACAGGATGACGATGATTCGGAGGACTCGCGAACAAGCTTTGAATCAACGTTGGATTTAACACTTCTGCTGGGGATGCTGGCCTCTGGCTGTCATTAATTCATCATGTGTTGCTGCTCCGCGCCCTCCTCCTCCTTGTCCTGGTCCTCCTTCTGCTACTGCCCCTCTTCCATCCCCAATCCCCCCCCGCTGCTCTTCCAACTCCTGCTCTTTTCTCGCGTCTCACTCCCCGTCCGTCTCCTCACTTACTGTTCCTCACTTTCTACGGTTGCCCAAGGGAGAAGCACGGAAGATCAGGGGGCATAAAAACACAGTGTATTAGAAGGCAGGAAAGATGAACAGGAGGATGGACATGACAAAAATGATGGTAGTCGTTATCATGTGGATCTCACTGACGGCGACGATCCACCGATCATGGCGACTGCAATATCTGCCAGCGGCATCGGCGCTCACGGCGACGACGACAACGGTTGGAATGACGGCTCATGATGTCGATTGCGAAGGTGACTGTGATGGTGGGCACGATGGTGACGGTGATGATGACGATGACGACGGCAATGATGACGATGACGGCGACGATGATGATTACTACGGCGTCGTCGTCGATGATGATGCTGTCGTCGATGACGATGGCGAGGGCCCTGGCGATGACGACCACGGCGACGACGACGACGATGACGAATCGGATGAACGGGCGGCCGTCCGCCGCGGCAGCAGCGAACGGCCGGCCGAGGCCGCGGCGAACGCCCAAGATCCACACTGCGGCCTCTGCTGAGAGAAGGCCTGCGTAGCAGAGATCTTCTCAGCAGGGGCGTCCGGGTGCCTCTGCACAGAGGGCGCGGGTCTGCCTCCGGGATCGTCGGCTGGGCTTGCTGAGACGACGCCCTCCAAGTGGAGCTTGTATCATCAGATCCAGACGACGATCCCAGGGTCAGACCCACTTCCTCTCAGCAGGGGCAGCCGGGTGCCCCTGCTGAGAAGACCCCTGCAGCGCAGGGTTCATCTCAGCAGAGGCCGATGTTAGGCGTTTGCCGCACCACGTCTGCTGAGAACGCGTAGGACGTGGCGAACGCCTAAGACCCAAGGGGCAGGAAGCGCGATCGGAAGCGAAACGCTTTTGGCGTTGGCTGTATCTTCTGTTGAGATACCGATGCCGATCATGGCCCGGTACCGGTGCCGATACCGGCATCGGTACCGGCACCGGTATCGATACCAGTACCGTCAGGAGCAGCGCCTTTCTCAGCACCAACATCAACACAATCCTTGCGGGAATATGGAGGAAAATGGGGGAGCGGGGAGGGAACATGAGGACGAGGAGGAGAGCCTGCAAGGAGGAGCAAGAGGGGTTGGGGGGATATGGAGGAGGCAGCAGCAGGAGGACCAGGACAAGGAGGAAGACGAGGCGGAGAAGCAGCACCAACAGACCGATTTATAGCCTCAGTCCAGTATCCCCAACAACGATTTTGAGGCAGGATGGCTCCACATATTGCTGATTTGCTTCCGTTCTTGTCGCCATCACTGTCGTCGTCATTGCTGACATCGTCCTCGTTGCCATGCTTCTTGCCCTTTCCCCTCCCACGCATCCCTCCTGCTTTTTCTCCTCCCCCTCCTTCTCCTCCCCCGACTCATTCCTTATCCTCGTCGTTATTATTCCCCCTTTCTCTTCTTCTCCTCATTCTCGTCATCGTGCTCCTGCTGCTCTTCCCCTGGTTCTTCTCGCCCCTCGTACTCCTGGTTCTCCTCTTCACCCTCCAAATTCTCCTCTCGCTGGAGATGTCAACATGTAACTAAGTAAGGCATGGCGCCCCCCCGCCTGAGACTTCCACATGACTCAGAAACCATGCTCTCGCCTCGGCGCCGGCTAACTGCTCCTTCGGGGCAGGGGCGCCTGGACCCCTCCTGGGGCAAAAGTCGGTATTAGCAGGGTAATGTAACAGGTAGCTTGGGCCTGGCCCCGTCTGACTCCTCTCCCCACCCCCTGGGGGCCCAGTTGTAAGGATGTCCCAGGCAAACTGACTGGACTACCTCGCGCGCTGAATCTCGGAGCGAGTCCAGAGTTGCGAGGAGGTCTGAAGCGAAATTGGCCCGACCCCAGAGTTCCGAGGATGGATCAAGCGAATCTGGCCCGAGAACCTCGAGCGCATCATATCTGAGCCCGGAGTTGCGGGGACGCATCAAGCGAAATTGGCAAAACGACCTCAGGCGCGGCATGTCTGAGCCCAGAGTTGCGAAGACGTCTCAAACGAAATTGGCCAAACCACCTCAAGTCAGGAGCATCTCGGAGCCCAGAGTTGCGAGGATGCCTCAGGCGAACCGGACCGGACAACCTCGCGCGTCGCAACTTCGATCCTAGAGTTGTGAGGATGTCTCAGGCGATACGGGCCAGATCACCTCAGGCCACAACAATTCAATTCTGAGACCAGAGTTGCGAGGATGTCTCAGGCGAAATCGGCCAGACCACCTCGCGCGCGGCATCTCTGAGCTTGGAGTTGCAAGGATGTATCAGGCGGAACGGGCTGGACCAGCTTAGGTCAGAGTAAATCTGAGCCCGCGCGCGACATCTTGCAGCCCAGAGACGTCGCATGCAAAATCCGCCGGACCACTTCGCACGCGGTCTCTCGGAGCCAAGAGTTGCGAGGACGTGTTAGGCGAGTTTGGCTGGACCACCTCGCGCCAGGCAACTCGGATCCCAGAATTGCGGGCATGCCCCGGGCGACCTGGGCGGACCAACTCAGGTCGGGGCATATCTAGGCCAAGAGTTGCGAGGATGTCCAGGGCGAATCAGACCAACTCAGGTCAGAGCATTTCCGATCCCAGAGGTGCAAGGATGCCTCTGGCGAAAATGGGCCAGACCACCTCGCGACAGGTATATATGAGCCGAGAGTTGTGAGGATGTCTCAAGCGAAATGGGCCGGACCACATCAAGCCAGGACATATATGAGCCCAGAGGGGCGAGGATCCTCAGGCGAGCCTGGCCGCACCTCTTCACGCGCGGCATCTAGGAGCCCAGAGTTGCGAAGATGTCTCACGCTAAATTGAGCAGACCACCTCGCGCGCGGCATCTCGCAGAGTTGGGAGGACATCTCAGGCGAGAGCGTCTGAAGTAGAATTGTCCAGATCACATCGCGCCCGGCATGTCTGAGCCTAGAGTCGTGAGGATGTCTACGGCGAAGCGGGCTGGACCTCCTCAGGTTGGAGCATATCTGAGCCCAGAATTGCGAAGATGGCGAAACGGACTGGACCACTTCGCGCGTGGCATCTTGGATTCCAGAGTTGCGAGGATGTATCAGGCGAAATGGGCCAGGCCATCTTGCCCCCGGCAACTCGGAGCCCAGAGTTGCGACGATCTCTCAACGCAATGTAATGCAGTGCCATGGGAAGTGACGCAACAGAAATGCAATGCCATGCGTTGTAATGCAATGCCATACAATGCAACGCAAAGGCACTCCATGCAATGGGATGAGACAGTGGCTTCCGCTGCGTGGGATGCGGGATAGAGATAGAGAGGGAAAGGAAGAGCACGGAGGAGGAGGTGTAGTTGTTTTTCCAGAGCTCCCCATGCAACTTGGCATGAACCACTGTGCAACACCAGTAGCAGGAGGCAGGGCTGGCAACAGGATCAAGCAAACGAAGCGCATTTAGGAGGCCAGAAGCTCACTTAGCAGGAAGAGGACGCTTCCGGCGACGCCGGCGGCGACGACGACCGACGACGACGGCCGCCGAAGGCCGCCGAGGCAGAGGAGGAGGAGGAGGAGGAGGAGGAGGAGAAGGAGGAGGAGGAGGAGGAGGAGGAGAGGGAGGAGGAGGTGACAAGGAAGAGGGGGGGGAGGAGGAGGAGGAGGAGGAGGAGGAGGAGGAGGAGGAGGAGGAGGAGGAGGAAGTGGTAGGACGTGACAAGAGGAAGGATGGGGAGGAGGACCGGAGGAGGAAGTGGAGGAGGAGGAGGAGGAGGACGAGGAGGATGACGAGAAGAAAAATAGGACCAGCAGCAGGAGGCGGAGCTGGCAACAGGATCAAGCACATCGGGAGCCCACTTAGCAGAACAGAAGCCCACTTAGCAGGAACACGACGTAAGAGGACCCCCAAGATGACTCGGGGATGGGCCGAGGGCCCTCTAGACCGCCACAGAAGCCCCCGAGACAACCCAGAAAGGCTCCAGGACGGCAATAAAACGGTCCCGACTCAATGAAGGAAATGCTTGCGTGTCTTCAGGTGCCTCCCCCCTCGCCGCGGCTGGACACAACTCGAAGGAACATTGCGCTCTGACCCTGAGCCGAAGACCAGATGCATATCTTGATGGACCTCCGGAGGTCGGAGGACACTGCCCTTGTGAAAGCGGCCACTCGGGACCGTTGGGGCTCTGTGGGGCCCTCCTTGGGCCGTCTTGGGACTCGCTCGGGCCATCTGGAATCCTCCTTGGGCAAATTTGCGGCCAATTTCGGCACACCTTCTCGTTGTGAAGAAACTGGCATCACTCTCCCGCGATTTCCAAAAGCTGTGGTACACGGTACCACGAGGGAAAAAAGAAGGGGTCGGCGGATGTGGCGTAAGTCTATAGAATCAAAACATCGTCCCCTGACTATGTTTTGACTAGTTTTGAATATTCCCCCTGTCGAGAGACACGCCCGACTTGATATTTGGTGCCTTCTTGGGCCCTCCATTGGCCATGGGAGTTTCTTCGGAACCTGTCGGCGGCCTCGGGGCTCCTGTGGGGGGCGGGAAGCTCGAAATTCGAGCTCGGGTTCCCCCTCTCGGGCCGCTCTTGGGTCTCTCTTGGGCTGTCTCGCGAACTTCTTGAGCCCTCTTACAGCCCTCATAAGCTGACTTGGGGCTGCCTTGAGGACCTCTCGGGCCGTCTTGGGGGTCTCTTGGGTTGTCGTAGGCATCGTTCACTTCAGGAACGAATCTGGCCAACAAAAAAAGATTGCCTGAACAAGAGACCATATGTTTGCTTCTCGGGGTCCTCTTGGAGGTCCCCTTGGGCAAGCATCGTGCTGCGAGTCCGCCACATGCTTGGGTAGCAGGTACGCCGCGCCCGAGCCCCATTTCAGTGGTGTCTCCTCGCCCAAGCGCCCGGAGACATGCTGAGACACTGAGTGGCCAATATCAGACGCCAGGCGAAGGCTGGCAAACCCGTGGCTGCTAAAATAGGCTGAATTGCCCTCTTTGGCTGAATTCCCCTACAACAGTAGGCCATCTCGCCCGAAGGCCTTGACATCTTCGAAAGGGATACTGTTGCGTCGCAGGTTGAACTCTTTCAACGCGGTGTTGACCTTCAAGGCCTCCGCCTAGGCCTTGGCGCCCTCGGCGCCGATATGGTTGTCCCACAGGACGATCTCTTTCAACGCGGGGTTGGCCAACAAGGCCTCCGCCAAGGCCAATTCGCCCTCGTCGCGGATATGGAATTTGGACCTCAGATCGATCCTCTGCAACGCGGTGTTGGCCTTCAAGGCCTCCGCCAAGGCCTTGGCGCCCTCGTCGCCGATATGGTTGTCGCTCAGTTCGATCTCTTTCAACGCGGTGTTGGCCTTCAAGGCCTCCGCCAAGGCCTTGGCGCCCTCGGCGCCGATATCGTTGTTGCTCAGGTCGATCCTCTGCAACGCGGTGTTGGCCTTCAAGGCCTCCGCCAAGGCCTTGGCGCCCTCGGCGCCGATATCGTTGTTGCTCAGGACGATCTCTTTCAACGCGGGGTTGGCCAACAAGGCCTCCGCCAAGGCCTTGGCGCCCTCGGCGTCGATATGGTTGCGGCTCAGTTCGATCCTCTGCAACGCGGTGTTGGCCTTCAAGGCCTCCGCCAAGGCCTTGGCGCCCTCGTCGCCGATATGGTTGTCGCTCAGTTCGATCTCTTTCAACGCGGTGTTGGCCTTCAAGGCCTCCGCCAAGGCCTTGGCGCCCTCGGCGCCGATATCGTTGTTGCTCAGGTCGATCCTCTGCAACGCGGTGTTGGCCTTCAAGGCCTCCGCCAAGGCCTTGGCGCCCTCGGCGTGGATCTGGTTGAATCTCAGTTCGATCCTCTGCAACGCGGTGTTGGCCTTCAAGGCCTCCGCCAAGGCCTTGGCGCCCTCGGCGCCGATATCGTTGAGGCTCAGGTTGATCCTCTGCAACGCGGAGTTGGCCTTCAAGGCCTCCGCCAAGGCCTTGGCGCCCTCGTCGCCGATATGGTTGTTCCACAGGACGATCTCTTTCAACGCGGTGTTGGCCTTCAAGGCCTCCGCCAAGGCCTTGGCGCCCTCGGCGCCGATATCGTTGCGGCTCAGTTCGATCCTCTGCAACGCGGGGTTGGCCAACAAGGCCTCCGCCAAGGCCTTGGCGCCCTCGGCGTCGATATGGTTGCGGCTCAGTTCGATCCTCTGCAACGCGGTGTTGGCCTTCAAGGCCTCCGCCAAGGCCTTGGCGCCCTCGGCGCCGATATCGTTGACGCTCAGGTCGATCCTCTGCAACTTGGTGTTGGCCTTCAAGGCCTCCGCCAAGCCCTTGGCTGTCCAGACTGTTGCCATCCAGCAACAGTAACTCCAGGCGCCCTGCGTGGCCCCTCAGAACGTCGAGGAAGTAGACGAAGCCGTGCTCCCCAGGTCTCCCACAGCTGAATTTGCTCAGGAGCAGGTTTTCGGCGTTGCCGTCGAGGAGCTCCATGGCGGCGTGGAGCAGGGGAAGGCTTTTCCTGGTCGCCTGCACACGGCACACCGTCGGGTCTCGGAGGCCATGGTCCTTCAACGCGAAGGCGAGGAGCCATCCGCCCTCCTCCATAAGGGGCTTCAAGAAGCGCTGCACCTTGCTGGCGTTCCCCATGCTCGCGGCGAAGAACAGCTCCTCCACGATCCACGGCAGCACCATCTTGCTGAGGAAGCGTCGCGCACTCCAGGCGAAGAGCAGCTGCAGCAGCGGCATGAGCACAGCCGAGGCAAGGACCAACTGGCTTCCGCCCTCGAAGATCATGAAGACGACGGCGGCGGCGCCTTGGGGCAGGCTCTCGAAGAGGAGGGAGCGCTGCTTCTCCTTGGTTGTCTGTTTGTACAAGAGCTGGACGGCCTTTTCCGGGTACTCGGGGAAAGCGAGGAGGCCCGCAGTTGCCGCCTCGTGCTCAACCGAGGCAAATGTGACGCTAAGGTAGGTCTCCGCGAGCTCTGCTGCGCCCACCGTGTCTTGGAGGATCCGGAAGTTCAGCACCGCTATGTAGGCGATGCTTGCCACCCCCACCAGCCTCACGATGCGGTGCTCCGCCTGAAGGCAGAGCCCTCCGAATTGGATGTCCTTGAAAGTGTCAAAGGCATCCGAGAGGAAGGGTGCCACCGCGGCCACCATCGCCATGGTGAAGGCGGACGGGGCGAACTTCCCGGGCTCGAGGCAAAGCGCCTGCAGCAGGCACCAGAGGTTGCCCAGCGAGAGCATGGTGAAGTAGCCCTCCCATGGCAGCCCCGTCTTCTCCGAGAGGAGGCCCGCATTCGAGCACCAGAGCACCAGGCTGGTGCTCAGGGCGAAGTCCGCCAGCCCCCTTGTGGGGCCACCAGGCTGTAGGCGCGGGCTCGCAGTTTCCAGTACCAGTTGTAGCTTGTAGTTTCCAGTGTTACAGTTCTGCTTCTTGCTGGTTACTGTAACTAGTTGATTGACCGCGCGAGGGGGGGGAGGCCCAAAGAGGATTTTTAGCACCCCCTGGGCGCGTTGTCTGAATTGCTGGGGGGGCTCGAAATCGACACCCCTCACGCAGATCCGCGGGGTCAGGGTCCAAAAACACAGGGGATTTGCCACATTTCTGAAATTCTGTGCCACCCCTCACGCAGATCCGCGGGGTCAGGGTCCAAAAACACAGGGGATTTGCGACATTTCTGAAATTCGGCGCCACCCCTCACGCAGATCCGCGGGGTCAGGGTCCAAAAACACAGGGGATTTGCCACATTTCTGAAATTCGGTGCCACCCCTCACGGACATCCATCGCAAGGCGTGGTAACCCAAACTGCGAGTACTCCCTCGGCCCTTTAATCCCAAGGTGTGGTAACCAAGCTCGTAAATCATACACGCCTTACCAATCGCCCTGTGTGGTAACCCCTCTTGTGATCAGTTGGTTTTGCCGATTGCGAATCGGCCTCGCATGATGTTCCGATACTGCTGCGCGACAGCGCCAAAGCCTCATGACTTAGCTCTTCCATGGCCCATTCTCCGAGAGAGGGGGCCGGCGGCAGGGGGCGAAACCCTTACGGATAGAGAAAGAAGGTCGCCCCGGTGGCGACCTGCATCCGGAGCGCCGGCGTATCCTTCACTCTGCACGTGTCCAGCAGCTCTTGCACAAGGCCCGCACGCGCCGGGGGAGCCACCTCCGCGCTGCCGCCGTCGACCTCCGCGCCGCCGCCCTCGCCGCCCGCCGCGGCCTCACCGCCGCCCTCCTCGGCGCCCACTCGGTTGTAGGCGCCGCGGCGTCCCGCCTCGCGCCCCTTCAGGAGCATGGCAAGCGTCCCGAGGGCGCAGACCACGGCCGTCTCGAGGAGCATGGCGGACCCCCAGAACTGCAGGCGCTGCGCCTGCTCGCCGCGCGGGAGCTTGCGCACGTTGCGCGGGAGGAAGTGCGCCGGCGGCCCGACGAGGGGGTGGACGTCCGCGCCCTGGAAGAGGTTCTGCACGGCGAAGAAATTCGGGATGGCCATCTTGCCCGAAGAAACTGCTTTGAAAAGCGCGGAAGAGAGGGAGGGGGTCTTCAAGATACTGGCGAGCTGGAGCTGAAATCGGCGAAAAAGCACTCTTCCAAGGCAGAACGACTCCTGGGCAAATGGGTTTTCGAAGCGCCATGCCGGGGCCTGTAGAGCAGCTTCGACAGAAGGCTTCCAGGGCAATGGCTCGCGGCAGGTGCGCTTTTCACTCACGCCCGTTGTCGGAAGAGGCGGTCAGCCCAGCCGCGGCTGGCATTATCTGGAGCTGGGAGGGGGCGGGGGGCACTCGCACACAGACACACAGACGCACAGACACACAGACACACAGACACACAGACACACAGACACACAGACACACAGACACACAGACAGACAGGCACACAGACACACAGACACGCAGACACACGGACACACAGACACACAGACACACAGACACACAGACACACAGACACACAGACACACACGCACGCACGCACGCACGCACGCGACGCACGCACGCACGCACGCACGCACAGACGCACGCACGCACGCACGCACGCACGCACGCCACGCACGCCACGCACGCCACGCACACCACGCACGCACGCACGCACGCACGCACGCACGCACATCACGCATACGCAAATACGCACATACACACATGTGCACATATGCACATACACACATATGCACACACACACGCATACACACCTACACACATACGCGCACACATGCATACAGCATACACACATACACATACACAGATACAGAGAGAGAGAGAGAGTTCGACAACGCATCACGGCGCACCCTTCTGTGACATTGCCTGGCCATGCAGGGCTGGGAACGGCGAAGGTCACCGCCTAGCAGCCCTAGGACTGAACTGCTGGGATTACCCTCGTTTTCGTACCCCCGAGAGGGCCCCGGGCATTTCCTCCCGGCGAGGGGCTGCAGGGGTCCGAAGGCACTTTCGGGATTGGAGGTTCCCCTGCAGACTTGTGAAGGATTTCTGTCTACTGCTAGTGGCTGGGGCAGGGATCGAACCCCTGCACCCTTTCCCACTCCAGCCTTCGGATCTGAAGAAGGGGGTGATACCACTACAGCACTACGGCCATCGAGAGAGAGAGAGAGAGCGAGAGAGACACTCAGAGACACACACAGACACAGACACAGACAGAAACAACTTCGGCTGTGACGCGCGCGTGCTTGCGGAGCTGCCGACTCTGGTCCGTTCCTAAACCGAACTCATCGTGGCAGCAACATTGGCCAGCGGACCTGTAAGTACTTTGGCCCGATATGCATGCAGTAACATATATGGTTTAGACACCCCACTAAGAGCCCCTTGACATATAGTCGGTAAAAAGTCGATGGCCTGGTAAGCGACAGTCATAGCTTAGCATGTCGGGCCCGTTTACACTCGGGGCCGCCGAAAAGGGGGGGTAGTAAATCTACGGCTTATCATTTTCCTGAGTTTCCCTTACTACACTACACCACATGCGGCCTCGACGATCGCGTGTGGTCTCAGGCACAATCCAAACCACAAGCCTCGATCACGCCCCGAGGCTTCCTCCTGGAATCACCGTCACTATCAGGGCTGTGGGTGGCCTCTCTCAGTGGAGATTCGCCCAATCCTTGTCACCCATCCTGAGAGGGAGTCTAAGAGGGGAGGGGAGGGGGAGGAGATGGGAGGGGGGGGTGGAGGAGGATGGCGGAGGAAGGGGGGGGGAGGAGGGCGAGGCGGAAATGGGGGTGGGGGAGGAGGGAGGAGGAGAGGAGCCGCCGCAGGACCAGGAAACGGACGTGCAGCAGGAGTAGGCGGGGAGAGGGAGGGGGGGGAGGGGATGGATTGGGGGCCAGGCGGGAGGGAAGGACGGGAGTGAAGGGGCCCACGGACACACAAATAGATAGACACGAATCCCAGGATCCCATATTTTCACTTTTCACATATTTTCATGATTTTCATATCCCCCCACTTCCCATGTGATCCCATATTCCCCGGGGGATCGACGATTATTTGTGTCTGTGTGTTTTCCCCTCCTGGGGGAACAAAACTGGAAGGACAAACGTGGGGGGCGGGCCGGGCGTTTCGCCTGAGACTTCCTCACAATTTCTGACTCTGAAGCTCAGAAAGTGACAACAGCTTCGCAGATGGAGGGCGGGTCGCTTTCAAAATGTGCCTCTCGCCATAGCGCCGCGCATATTCGTTTTCCAAGAGCTTCACGGATTGAGGGCGGGTCGTTTTCAAAATGGGGCTCTTGCCTTAGCGCCGCGCACATTCGTTTTCGACATTTGCAACGAGTTTCACGAATTGAGCGCGGTTCCTTTTCAACATGTGTCTCTCGCCTGAGCGCCGCGCACATTCGTTTTACACACTTGTAAGAGTTTCACGGATTCCCATGATCAACGTACCAAAAATGGTGTTTTGGAAGGACTCAGGATTATGCGGGTGCAACAGATATATTGATTCGCGGCGTTGAACTCTAAAAACTGGCGTTATGGCACGATTCCGGAACACCAAAACGCAACAATCAGGTTGATACGTGGCGTTGAACTCTCGAGAACAATGTTTTAGCATGCTTCAGGATCTTCAAACGGTTGTCTTCCAAAGAGGCAATTCCATGAATGGAAATGAACTGCTGTAGGGGCATATGAAGAGGGAGTTTGGTGGGAGGGTGAATTCCAACATCGTTGATGACTCTTGGGTTTACATTCGTCCTCCTCCTCCTCCTCATCATCCTCCCTCCCCCTCCTCTCCGGTGCATCTGATGTGGCCTGGAGACAGTACGGGCACGGTCACCTGGAATGGTGCACCGAAAAGAGCGAGGGGGGAGGAGGGCGTGCTGCAGGCGTCAGGATCCATGATCTAGACATCTTCATGCGGCAGGATCGAGTCGTGACGACTTCGGCGATGGCTTCTGACACTGCGTGGATCGTTTAATCTTAGAAGAGCGCCAAACAGTTCACCACCACCAGCCCTGGCCAGGCACATCCTGGGCCCTGGCACATCCTGGGCCCTGGACTGGTGTACAGGCCCTCCTGGCCCAGGCGTGGAGGTCTATACACCAGTCCAGGGCCCAGGATGGACCTGGCCATGGCTGGTGGTGGTCTATTGTTGGCGTCCCTCCGAAACTCAGGGAGACGTAAGACTCGGGTTCGGGGGACTCGGGTTGGCTTGACGGGGCCATCATGAAAATGACGGGATCCAATCTGAAACTTGACGTGACCTCCCGCTGCAATCATCCCGCGAACCCTGGACCGTCGGTAGGTTCGCGCGGCGTCGACGCGCGCCAAGGTTTTTGACACCGCGTCGATAGTTCAACCTTGAACCGATCGCGGCCCCGATCGCTCAAGGTTGATCGGGCCTTGGTAGAACCGGGTTTAGTGGAACCGGGTTTAGTGATCTGTACCGGGGGCACCCCCCCGTCCCATTTCCACCAACCGGAACTGCCGTCACCCGAACAAACACAAACCATGGCAAACCTGGCTTAGTGCTTCT